CTGTGGTAGTTCCTGTGACCTCATAGCAATGCTATAAGGACAGCCCAGTTACTATTCCACAGATGTGGAGATGGAAGTTCAGAGAGGTTAGGCCATCTGCCCAAAGGCACACACGGAGTCACTGGTACAGTTAAGTCCAACTGACTCTTGCTTGTATCCTGTTCCTCTTTACAGCTAGGGTTGGCAAATTTTTTCTTAATGGGCCAGATAGTAAATATCTTACGTTTCTAGGACATATGGTCGTCTCTGCTGGAGCTTTACAACTCTACTGTCATAGCAAAAAAGCCCCCATAATTGTAAACAAATGGGCGTGGCTGTATTCCAATAAAACTTTATCTACTAAATAACTTACACATTTACAAAATGGTAAACTCAGTTTACAAAAACAAATGGCTAGCCCACAGGCCATCGTTTGCCAAACAAACCCGGCTTTAGAGAGAATGAGGAGCTGGACTGTGGGGGCTCTTCAGGCTGCACCTTGCCACCCTGCATAAGGCAGGCTGATGTGCCATGCCCAGAGGCTGGAGAAAGAGGATCCTTACAGGGAAAGGATGCACAGGAAACAGGGACCTGTTTCTCTGGGAAACCAAAGAGTAGCAGTCTAACTGGATTGCTTTCTTAACACTTGGCAATAAGTAATTCTTACCCATTTGGGGGTCATGGCGGCTTTGAGGATCTGATGAAAGCTCTCGATTTGGATCTTCTCTCCAAAAAGAAGGGGGAAAAATCACTGTTAACACACACATAGTCCTCTAGTTTGGGGGCCCTCAAGATGCCCCCCCCATCCCTCACTCCCATCCAGTGCCCGTGGGCCCCAGGGGAAGAACGTTGGCCTTCAAGGACCTGTCTCTGGGTGAGGGGAGGGCATTAACTCCCTCACTGCCTGGATCCTGCTGACCACCCCCCTTCAACCCTCCCCGCCACCCACCTACCCACTGGCAGTGTCTCCTTCTGCACGTTCCTGGCACATGAGTACCCAGACCTGGTGCACAAGGTGATCATGATCAATGGCGGGGGCCCCACAGCACTGGAACCCAGCTTCTGTTCCATCTTCAACATGCCCACGTGCGTCCTGCACTGCTTGTCACCCTGCCTGGCTTGGAGCTTTCTCAAGTGAGTCACCCCGGCCCTGGTGGACCCTGGGCATCTCCCTGAGTTGGGTGGGAGGGGAGGCCGTGTTGCTGCTGGGATGGGCATTGGAGGCGCCCCTGGTAGCCGGGCTGGCACGAGGCCTCCAGGAGTGCGTCCCCACCACCAGGGCTGGCTTCGCCCGCCAAGGAGCCAAAGAGAAGCAGCTACTGAAGGAGGGCAATGCATTCAACGTGTCATCTTTTGTCCTGCGAGCCATGATGAGTGGCCAGTACTGGCCTGAAGGTGACGAGGTCTACCATGCTGAGCTCACTGTGCCCGTCCTGCTCGTTCATGGCATGCACGACAAGTTTGTGCCGGTGGAGGAAGACCAGCGCATGGCCGAGGTAGGGCCTTGGCACCTGAACCCCGCCCCCTCCATTCCCTGCTCCTGCGCTCCAGGGAGATTCTGCCTTGTGCTCCCAGGGAAGGGAGAGCTTAGATTGAGAGTGCAGTCCAGAACGTGGGGCTGCCCTGGACAGGTGTCAGGATTGGGTGCTTTCCCCACTGCACATAAAAGGTGCTCTGCAGAGCTGGGATTTGTATAAGTGACCAGGGATGCAATACGTAATTCTGGGAGAGGGTGGGCCAGAGGATCTTTAGATCAGACACTACCGAGAAAGGGTCTTGGGATCCTCAGCACTCGGAATAGCTCAGGACCAGTAGTTCTTAACCAGCAAGGATTCTGAGCCCCGGGGGGACATTGGAAATGTCTGCAGACTTTTTTGGTTGTCATGTATGGGGAGGAGGGGCTTCTGATATCTGGTGGGTGGAGGCAGGGATGCTGCTCAGCATCCTGTAATGAACAGAATGATTCTATGGCAAAGAATATTCCCACCCCAGGTGTCAGTAATGCCAAGGTTGGGAAGCCTGGCATGAGAGACCTTGTCTTGGCATGAGAGACCTTGTCTTTCTAGCTCCGTGATTCTCACCCAGCTGTGAATTTGATCCCTAGGGATATTTGGCAATGTCTGGAGACATAATAAGTTGTCACACTGTGGGGTGGGGGGAGTGGGTCACTGCTACTGGCATCTGGTGGGTCAAGGCCAGGGATGCTGCTCAACATCCTGCGGTACACGGGACAGCCCCCACCACAGAGAATGATCCTGCCCTATATGTCAGTAGTGCTGGGGTTGAGAAATCCTGCTCTGGACGTACTGTAGCCACGTCATAAATGTTGAAGGAATATTGAGTTGAGCTCCACTGGGGCAACAGGCTATCCTCCAGCGCCCCCTTGGGTGGAAGTAGAGGGATGAAGGGTAGACCACAGGAGGGACTTCCTAAGGCTGCAGGCCTGGTGTGGATGGGCTTGGGTGTCCCAGGGCAGCCTGCCTTTGCCACGCTGAGCCTGTTCCCCCCGCTCCTCCGCAGATCCTGCTGCTGGCTTTCCTGAAGCTCATTGATGAAGGCAGCCACATGGTGATGCTGGAGTGTCCGGAGACGGTCAACACGCTGCTCCACGAATTCCTGCTCTGGGAGCCCGAGCCCTCGCCCAAGGCCCTGCCCGAGCCCCTGCCCGCGCCCCCAGAAGAGAAGAAGTAGCCGCTGGGCCGGCCGGGCATCGCTTGGTAAGCCGAGGAACAGCAGGAGGAAGCCAGGAGCCGCCCCTCGTCCGCAGCGCGGACCACCTGGGCGGGCCGTTCGCTCTGGTGGGCGGAGTCAGGTCAGGGAGACGCCCCCAGGCCGCCTGGGTAGGGCCTGGCATTCTCGGGAGCCAAGTGGATACACCGCTCTCCGCTTCCATCCTGCCGGACCCATCGGTGTTTTGGGGCCGGAGCCGGAACCCCCGTGGAGGATGACCTTGTACAGAAGCCCCTGCCCCTCAACGCCACGGCCGAGGCAGGCCCCCCACCCCGCTCTCTGTCTTCCGTGTCAGCCGTGCTTGATCCTGGGACCCTCCGGGGGCCCCGCCTCATTGCCCGAGACCCTCCCCACCCCCATTTCTTGGCGCTGGGAGCTATTGTTGCCCAAGGGGGGGGGGAGGGGGAGGGGGGCTGGCGCCACCGAACCTGCACATCTCAACTTGTAACTCAATAAAAAGAAGTGACAATCTGAGTCTCCGGACCTGTGCTGGGTGACGGCAGGGCAGGGTCGTCCTGAGCCTCAGTTTCCCAGTGTGCAGACTGGGCGGATGCGGGCGCCAACCCCTCAGGGCTGACTTGCGGAGAAGTGAGGGCGTTGGTCTTCCAGGCTTGCTTCCCGAGTTCTCCCTCCCTCCCTCAGAATGCAGGGGCTGCTTGGGCAGTATTCCCAGAGCAGAGGCAGATGGTGAGCTCCGGGTCCCTGGAAGGCAGGAAGCCGTCCAACTGAGGTTCATACAGGGGTTAAGGGGAGGATCAGTAGATGTTGCATGGGTCGGAGCTGCCATAATTGAGTGCCGCCTGTATACAACGCCCTGTGCCAAGTGCCTGATGCCGTCGGTTCATTGAATCCCTTTTATCCCATGCCACTCAGTGAGTCGGTACCTCTTACTATCCCATTGTATCTTTCAACCTGGTTTAAGGTCACTTTTGCCATGAAGATAGTTTTTGTTTGTTTGTTTTGAAGCAGACGAATCTGCCTTTCTTGTCTGGCAGAAGGATCTCCTGACCTACAGCCATGCTCTTACTCCTCTATATTTTCTAATGTATGTATCTCAAGGTACACCTCTGGCTTGTGTGAACGGTGAGGGGAGAGCACTGTCCCTTTAGTTACTGCATCTTTGGTCCTTTCCCCACTGGTTTGTAAGCCCACGTTTAGTTTAGACCAGAGTTCTCATGGGGGCACTGTTTTCCACTAGTAAATTTTTTTAAAAAGTATTTATTTATTTGAGCGCACACCCGCATGAGTGGGGAGGCAGAGGGAGAGGGAGAAGCAGGCTCCCTGGTGAGCAAGGAGCCTGACGCAGGACTTGATCCCAGGACCCTGAGATCATGACCCTAGCCAAAGGTAGACGCTTCGCCTATTGAGCCACCCAGGCACCCTCCATTAGCAAATTCTGGAGACATTTTTAATTGCGGCAACTGGGGGTGGGAGGAAGTGGGTGGAGCCCACTGGACAGGACTGCCCTTACCGCAAAGAATAATTCGGCCTCAAATGTCAGTAGGGCCCACACTGGGAAATCCTGTTAGACAAATCTCATCTCTTTTGAGTCTTTTTTTGAGGTGTGTGTGTGGGGGGGGGGCGTGTCTCTGGATTCTTTCCCAGTGACTTCTTTGTGAATTCCTGCGTATGTGGCACACTTTTAATTGCTATCACTTTATCAAGAGACTTGGTGTCTGGGAGGCCTCCTCTTCTTATATATGAGGAAAGGGAAGCTCAGAGAAGTTTCCTGAGTTTGGTCAAAATGGTAGAACCCAGGGGCGCCTGGGTGGATCTGTCGGTTAAGCGTCAGACTCTTCATTTCGGCTCAGGTCATGATCTCAGGGAGGTGGGATCAGGCCCCATGGGGGGGCTCCCGCTCAAGGCAGAGTCCGCTTGAGATTCTCTCCCTCTGTCCCTCCCCCAGCTAACGCATGCTGTCTCTCTCTAAATAAATAAAATCTTTAAAAATAAATAAATAAATAAAATGGTAGAGCCCAGACCCACTCCAGAGGCCTGGCCCCTGATTACCATACTAGCCATTCTCCAAGAGTAGCCAGGGGCTCAGCCTGCAGGAATTGAGGCAGGTGGGACGGGCCGGGGTTACATCCCGCCCCCTGCAGGACGTGGTTCGCTGAGCCGCGATGATGGGCAGATGGCCAACCCAATGAGGCGGCGGATCCTCCCAAATCTCTAAATACACTAAATGCTTTGAAGAAGCAACTCCCAGAAAATAAAATGATCCCGTCAACACCTCACCAGGATGGCAGCTTGGCATTTACTAAAGCTCTTAACACGTGTGAAGTCTGAAATCGCATAGCATCACCAAGGAATGGCGGTTATTTATTGCATCTTCTAGCGAAAGAAACAGCCTCAGGGAAGCAATGGAGACCCGAGTTGCACAGCTACCCTGAGGAGGGCTGGTCGCTCACCCAGACCCCGGTCGACCTCCCGGGCTCTGTCCACGTCACCACACACAGTCGGCCCCTGGACAGCATCACGGCCTCTCCTTTCCCCAAGAGATTTTCCACTTGCTGGGCTCCTCTGAGCCACACACTGTATTTCCTGCCTTTGTTTACTCCGGTCTCCACCATGACCCCCTGAGGTAGGACTTGTCACTGTCCCCACTGTACAACTAAGGAAACTGAGCCTCAGGAAGACAAGTTCTTGGTCCGAGGTCCCACAGCTGGGAAGCAGAGAAATCCGGCCCTTGAGTTTGGCCGCTTCCCCCAGCCCATACTACACGTGAGTCCCCTGTGTCTGGGAGATAAAAGCGGATTACACAGACAGGACCAAACTGCCAAAGCACTAGCATATTCTGAAGCACTGGAATGTTCCAAAGATCCTCTGGTTCCCTACTTGCTCTCCCATGACGGGAAGCTCCAGAAGCTCCATCTGTAACAAAGTCTTCCCTCAGCTTGAGGGGAAGATACACCCTCCTGCCCGCCGCCCCCTCACCCCTGGCAGCCTTCTGGAGATGGGTGGCTGGCATCAGCATGGGGCAGCTGCAACATTCAAACACCCTGATCTCTACCTAGGCTGGATGGCAGCTCCCCAGTACTCAGCCACGCGCCTGGATGTCCTGGGGCCGCAGCTCTCGCTCACCCTCAGCCAAGAAGACAAGGAGGGCGCGGTGCAGCAGATGCACCCCCAAGCGGCGGCGCCGGGTGGCTGACCAGCCCGCCACGACTCCATAGCAGTGTCCTTGTTTCTGGTTGGTCAGCGTCTGGATCCCTGGAGAGATGAGGGGTCAGGCATCCTTGGAAACCCTTGGCAGATGTGACAGGGAACCCACTGCATATTGCTCTTAAGCAGGGACAAACCAATAGAGCAAAATATATACGCTTGCAGGTACATAGTTGGTGCTCAATAATTGCTCATTGCATGAATGAATGAACAACTCTGAGAGGAAAGGGGTGAGGTAATCAGTAGATCAAGGGTCCTTCATGTGACCCCACCCCCACCCCACAAGCCAGGCACCTACCTAGAGCATCCACAAGACACGCCTCTCGAGTATAAGCCTCCACAGCAACCACGTGTTGGAAGCAATGCAGGGAGACCACGCCACGACCACTGGCCCAAATGTCCAAGATCTGGTGCACTTTGGGGCAGGCCTAGGGGACCAGGGTGGGGTCAGGGGTCTGCCCTCCAATCCCCTCCTCCCTTCACCTCCCCATGGCCAAGTTGCCCCTGCCATGACCTTGATCCTTAGCCACACCTGCTTTCCTGGCTGCCGACGGAGCCTGAGGGCCTCCCAGAGGTGGACATCCGGCCGGGCCCGTGTCCCTTTCCCCACATAGAAGATGGCACGGACAAAGGTCCGAAGGCGTTCAGCGGGGGTCAGTGAGAAGGCTCGAGCTGGCAGGTCCTGAGTCTCCCTGGATGAGGGGAGTAGCTCAGAGAGGAAGAAGTGATGACAGTTGCCCCGGAGACAGTTTCTAAGTTCACAGAGCAACCCGAATCCATGTTCAGTGAGCCCCATTTTCTAAGGCAGAGAGTGGTAGATGCTCCCTAGGGACACTCAGCAGCTTGAACTTGGTCTAACCAACCTTTTAAAGAAGCTGATGCCCAGACACGGCCAGTCCCCCTTATAAAGATACAAAGCAAATAAGAACCAATCCCAGGATTTTCCAGCTCCCACCTCTGAGTCATCCCTGCCCCAAGTACCTGGGGTCCAACAGTAGATACGTGAAACTGGATTTCACGACCCCCTCCCGCCACCTTCTCTTGGGATCTGGCCGCTCAAACTGCTGGGCAAGCACATCCTCATCTGCCTGGGCATCTGGGATACAGCCTGTCCGCAGGGCTTCAGCGAGCTCTGGGCTGTGCCCTGAAAAGTCTGAGTCCCGGGTGGGGGGGGTGGGGGAGGACTGAGTCAAGGCAGACAGAAGAAGGGGCTGTTCCCAGAGACAAAGAATAAAATAGGCAGGACTGAGAGACAGGGGTCTCCAGGAATTCCTGGAGGCTCTTTGGACTCTGGATGCCCCTTACAGACTAACCAGGAGCAGCATGGGCTTCTTCCAGCCGTCGGAGGTGGTATGGCCGAGGGAAGGGTGTGATGGGGCCAGGACTCTCGCCAAGCACTCGGAGCCCTCGCAGCAAATCCAGGTCAGACATGGCAGGGACCGGAGGGCACCAGCAAGAGGGGACAGGGTCCCTGCCACCTGTGGAGCTCTCCTCGTCCTCCGTCAGCCAGAGGGCAGCCACATCACTGTCGAGGGACACCTCTTCGTCTTTTAGGAAGGGGGAGTCGGGGAGTCCAGGCGGTGGTTCCCGAGGGGGACTTGGGGCAGGGCTCCCACCAGGGAGGGATATGGCGGAGGGGGAGGCATCTGGAGAGGTCAGGGTCAGGGCCTGCAGACGGGTATTTAGTTCTGCCTCCCTGTCTGCCCTGGCAGCTCGATGCACCAGCTGTGGGGTACCTGGAGACCTTGGCATCCTCTGGGAAGGTTGAATACCAGGCAGGAGTCCCTGCTTGGTCTGGGGTAATGGCCCAGCCCAGGAGGAGGTATGCGGAGCTGGATCTTCAGTTCCAGAAGCTTCAATCGCAGTGACAAAGGAGGTATCTGAGCGGTAGTCCCATAGTCCTGGGGGGGACTCCAAGCCGCTATCCTTGTCAGCAATCTCAGGGTGGGCAAGGAGGCTGGGGGTTCTGGGGCTGACCTCCAGGCCCATGTCCCTGCCATCACGTCTGCCCAGTGCTGTGGAGCCTGGGGTCACATTGGGAGGTCCAGAGGGGCTGGTGTCCAGCCCCTTTCTCCAGGGGTCTGGGCCTGAAGTAAGAGATGAGAATGAGGGTGAGAGAGGAGGGGTGAAGAGAGCCAGAGACAGAGATGGGGGTTGGATCAGACAGAAAGAGGCAGGGAAAGAGTCGGAGGTAGACAGCTTTCCGCAGACGGTACCCGTGAGCCAGAGCCAGAGAGGGGACATCAGAGGGAGGTGCAAATCTAGATCAGAGGTTAGGCCCCCGAGGACGCGTAGGCCCCACTCACCGTCAGCCTCGGGCTCAGGCTCAGGCTCCTGGCTCTCTGCCCGGGTCTGGGTCGAGGTCTTGGTCCGAGTCTGGAACTCCCGAAGGACGCGCGCGCAATCCTGGGCCCCCTGGTGCTCTGCCAGGTCCAGCGGCCGCAGTCCGTCCTGCGGCGGCGCGGTCAGCAGGGGGCACCCGAGGCCCTCTTCCCTCCCTTCTTCCCTCCGGGTTCGCCCTGCCACAGGCGCTGGGCTCCCACCTGGTCTCGCAGTGCGGGGTCCGCTCTGTGGCCCAGCAGTAGCTCCAGGCCACGGCGACAGCCCCAGGCGGCAGCCACGTGCAGCGGCGTCAGGGCCTCGACCGAACTGGGGCAGGAGTGGAGGAGGGCTCAGCGGAAGAGGGAATGTGATCTCTGCCTCCGCACCCCGGAACCTTGGCTCTCGGGCTCCTATCGCCACCCCCCAGCCTGAGACACCATCCTTGGATCCTAGACAATGCGCCCTCGGCCAGACTCAAGCCTCTTCTCTCTGAGCCTAGAGCTCCCACCGCCAGATCCGAACCTTTGATCCCTACTTGGCCCCGGCGCAACCTCACATCCACCCTCTGTCTGGGACCCTAGCTCCCGCCCTTGGATCCTCAGGAACCGCCCCGAGATCCCCAAGCCCCACCTTTGGGCAACGAGCCTCCGCCCCTGGGCTGTGGGATGCTCTCTCCCAGACTCCCAGTTCTCGCCCTCGGACTCGGGAGACCCCTCCCCTGCGCGGCTCACCCCGCCCCGGGGTCAGGCCTCGCCTCACCGAGAGTTGGCGTCCCCGCCTCGGCGCAGCAGGGCTTCGAGACAGCGCAGACCGCGCGAGTGCCGGGCTCCCGCCGCCAGGTGCATGGCTGCCGCGCCATCCGCCAGCAGCAGGTTGGGGTCGGCGCCGCGGCTCAGCAGTTCCTCCACCGCCCTACGGACTGGAAGGTCAGAGTGGACCACGACCCCCGCCCCGCCCCCGGCCCGGTCCCCGCCCTCACCGCGGCTCCTCTTCCCGCAACGCTGCCCGAAGCCGCTGCGCCAGGCCGGCCGCCGCGTCCATGCCGGGGCTGTAGCGGAGCCCCGCTGCCCTGCCCGCCGAGTTCCAACTTCCCGCCGCGCCCGTGTGCGCACGCGCCGCCCCACCCCCCGCCTCGGGCCTCCGCGGGCCGGCGCCGCGCAGTGTCCCCCACCAAGCTGACCTGTGCCGCACCGGCGTCCACATCGGGGCGCGGGAGCTCTAGCGCCTGCGGGGGCCCGTGACACCGAGTGGCGCTCAGGCAGGGCCTGGGGCCGCCGATAAGGACCTGGGCGGGTGGAGGCCGCCGAGTGTGCCATTATCTCGTCTCAAAAGCGGGGAAAAGCGAACTCACCCTAATAGAGGGGTGGAGCTGCTTCCCGGGACCGGAGGTGCCCACAGGGCATTACGGCTCCCGGAACGTTTTGCCCAGGGGGCCTCCGTGGACGCGCACAGCCTCGATACTGTGTAAGGCTTCAACTAACAGCTCCCGCCGCCCTCTCCGGGTCGCCCGTTTTCACTCCCTGGGAAACGGGAGAGGCCACTACTTCGGAGCTCTGGGCTGCTGAGGGCCTTAATTTTCCCATCTGCAAAATGGGAGAATAATCTCTTCCAGGCTGGTGTGAAATGGCACGAGTTTCACCACAAGGGCCTGGCACATAAGTGTCCAATAAATAAATGCTCAGAGGTAGGAAAAGCTGTTGCTCAATAAAGCTGTTTCCGGGGTGCCCGGGTGGCTCAGTTGGTTGGGTGTCTGCCTTCAGCTCAGGTCATCATCTCAGGGTCCTGGGATGGAGTCCTGCATGGGGCTCCCTGCTCAGCAGGAAGTCTGCTTCTCCCTCTGCACCGCCCCCCATGTGCTCACACATGCTCTCTCTCAAAAATAAATACAAAATCTTTTTTAAAAAAAGAAGCTGTTTCTGTTTTGTAAGAATCTAGTTGCTAAACTTTTTTTTCACAATCACTCATTATCCAGGAAGGTAGTTGAATGGTAGACCTGTTGTATCTGTCTTTGGTCTCCCTTCCTCTGGGGAAAACTCATACTATTTCCTGAAAGAGCTGTAATCCCTTCCCAGAGGAAAGGCTTGATTAAATCCTGGCGGATCAGAGCATCCCACAATTCTGGCCCACGACTGGCCCCATGTAAGGTTACCTGACCCAGGCAAGGCCAGTCCTATGGAGTTCGGGGGGCCCTCTCTTCACCTGGGCTGTAGTTTGAGCAGTGATCACAGCCCTTTCCTTGGTTTGGGAGAAAAGCAGGGCACACTGAACACCGATCATGCAACATATTTCAGCCCACCTCAATGGCATTATTGTCTGAACAACTGAATACAGCCGAGCCTGAAGCTGCACTTTGCTTTTTACCCACAAGAACCAAATCATTCCCCTTTCTGTTCAGCCGGTAGGTTTTCTGTCCCTTGCAACCAAAAAGATCCCAATTAACACAAGGTAACTGTTGTGGACCTGGGTTAGGGATTCACAGATTTTTATTCTGATGACAAAAAGCGCACAGGGAAGAACAAAACTACAGTCGACAAACCAGTAGCGCGAGGCGGGCTGGAAAACATAGGGAATGGGTGCCCAGAGTCCCCAGGAGCCTCCTGGAACCCTGCCACAGAGCCCAGTTTAAGAACCATTCTCTAAGCCAAGGGCTTCACTGCACGAGAAGGCAGAGATGCACAGGGATGTTTCAGACAGTGGCTTCGACCTCAGTGGCTTCATCCTCCTCCTCCAGCAGGCTGTAGGAAGCATGACTCTGGCAGGGCCGCTGCAGTGGGTGAGCCAGCAGCTTGGCCATACAGTTGTGCAGCTCAAGGGCTGGCCCAGCCAGCGCCACCTCATACTTGTAGCTGGTACCCTTGGTATCCAGGCTGCCCATGAAGGCAAACATGTCCTGTGGGGCCGGGGAGGGGCCGTTCAGGTAGAGGTTCCCCGATGGACCCTCTCTGCCCCTGGAGGGCTTCCCAGAGGAGGGGGTATCAGGGATGGGTTCTGAAGGATGAAGAGGAGTTTGCCAGAAAGGAAACATTCCCACGTTCAGCAAATATTCCCCCACCACCCACCCAGTGGTAGGGACCCCAAGAAATCTCAGTCCTGGAGCCCCTAGTTTGGAGAGACACAGTTAGATGCAGACTACCCCCAGGCCCCACGCTAATCATCCCTGAGGAGCAGAGCCTTTAGGTTTGGGTGCTGAAGTATGAGTAGGAGCTGGTCTCAACTCTCCCTGTTCACAGTCGGGTAAATTGAGACTCAGAGGTAAGTGGCCTAATCAAGGTTCTATAGGTCGGTCTGGGCTGGGATATGAAAGACCAGTAGAGTCTGGGGAGGCAGGAGGGAAGGGCGTGCCAAGCAGAGGGCACCGTGAGAGCAAAGGCAGAGAGACGCCCTCGCTAGCTCACAGCAGACACGCAGGAATGGCTGCTGAATGGCCTAAGGCTCCAGGGCTGCAAAACGGAGGTGGGTTCCGAGATACCCCACCTACACCCATCTGCCACTCACACACACAGCAGCCTCTCACCTTCCAGCTCATTTCCTCTTCCTTCTCGTCAGCGCCATTGTGGATGTAAACAACATCAAAGAAGAAGTATGGGCACTGGAACATTTTCTGCAGGGGAAGAACACCGGCCTTCGGGGCTTGAGTCACCCCATGCCCCCATGACCATAATTCCCCAGCTTTTGCCTTGGACTCTGGGAAACTGCCCATAGACACCCCAGCTCTTGTGATCAGGAAGTCCCTCCTGGTGTCTAACCACCATTCTGCTGGCTGCAGATATCCCTCCCTTTCCCCAGCCTCACTCACCTTCATGGGCTCCGTCAGGGAGAACTGGGGCTGGCAGGGCGGACGGCTATAGACAAGGATGGTGCGGACCACGTACGGGGGTGGAATTGTCTGCACATTCTCGGTGACTGGCAGCTCAGTCTTCTGCTGGCTGCGTAGTGAATGGTGGGGGACAGGTCAGAGCACACTCTGGGGATCCACCCCTCTTGTCACCCTCGGAGAGCCCGGGACTTCACCGGACATGCAAAGCCCACAAGACTGCTGCCTCTGAGCCTCCCCATATGCTGTTCCCTCTGCCCAGAGTGCCGCCCCAGCCTCACCCTTCTGCCTGACCTCTCCTGCTGGATCGGGGAGACTCCGCTGACCCCAAAGCTGGAGCCCGCTCTGACCACCCTCACCATCCTGAACATCCCCCATCATTGACCTGAGTTGGACCTGTCCCACCAGGCCAGAAGAGTCTAAGGTAGGAACCTGATCTTATCAGCTAAGTTAGCACCCACGTCCCCAACTGGCCACGGCTGGATCTCACATTGGCAGAGAGCACTGGGCAGACAGAGGGCTAATGTCTTTAGTACGTGAAAAGCAAATCTGATCATCCATAAGAAAAAAGCCGACATCTCCCTATAAACATAGGCAAAGGGGACAAACGGACAAATCACTGTAGGAAGACTGAATGGCTTACAAATGAATGAAAAAAGGCTCAAAGAAAAGCTCAGTGACAGTAACAGGTAGCCTCTACCAGACAGGCAGAGCCTTCGGCGGCATGAACAACTCTGGTGTCGGGAGGTACACAGGGTTGGTTTCCTAGAAAAGTGCTCTGGCAGACTCTAGCAGATTAAAAACACACACCCCTTTGGCCCAGCATGTCTTCCACTGGGAATTTATAGGATGGGTTCACTTGCAAAATTTGCCAGGACCACTGTACCAGGTTAATCACAATGGAAAAGGCAAAACAGAATCCGTGTCCACTATTAGGAGGCAGGTAAAAACAGGGGTTGGACTACTAATGCCCATAAGCTAAGAATGGTTTTTACATTTTCAAAATGGTTGGAGAAAGAAAATCAAAAGAACATTTTGTGACACGTGGAAAGGATATTAAATTCAAATTTCCGTGTTCATCGAGAACGTTTTACTGGGACCCAACCCCGTGCACAGGTGTGCTTTGTGACTGCCTTCAGGTTACTTGGGCAGGATCCAGTCATCAAGACAGAGACCACATGGCCTACAAAGCTGAACATATTTACTGCCCGGCCCTTTACAGAGAAAGCGTGCTGCCCCATGGGTTAAAACAACGGAGTGGGGGACCTCAGGGCGGTCACAGGACTGACGTGGAAGGCGAGACGCGGGGAAGGCGGTACTTACATGAGGCTGAAGAGACCTTCTAGATCTGGCAGAGATGCTAAGGAGAACGCTGGGGGCAGAGCACGGGCAGGAAGCGGCGGGTGGCTTCCCGCATCCTGATGCCAGGAGAGCCCAGGCCCCCTCATACCCGGTGCCAGGTACCACCGCGCAGGAGACGTGCTGTGCGACCCTGGCCCAGTCGCTTGCCCTGTCTGAGCCTGTTTTCCCTCAGCATAGATCACAAAACAGGGGGCCGGCACTGGATGCCCTGAAAACCCTTGGTGGCTCAAAACTCCCCTTTCCCTCAAGCCCAGGGCAGCCGTCCTCACAAGGCAAGAGCCATGGGTGTCCCCGTCCCCTACCCCCCAACACTCAGCATTGTTTTGTAACTCATGAGGATCATTTTCTGTCTAAGTTTTGGGCTGCACATGAGCCTTTTGTGTTCAAGTTAGCATGAAATGTGCTGTGCCAAGGCCGCAGGGGCTGTAGTAATGACTGTGACTCCTCAGTCCCATATCGCCATCTATTGAGCACCAACTGTATGCTTGGCCCTGCAAAGAATGCTCCCCATGTGTGTGGTTTTGACATCTAGAGGCCAAATCAGCTGGTTTTGTTTCTGTACCATGTCCAGCCCCCTCCACAGGGCAGCCCTGCCTGTAAGGATACTGAAGGTGGAGCAGGAAGCTGTCTCCAGGTCGTAGAGGCAGCTGCAGAGTTCGCGGGGATCGGAGGTCAGGCCGGACAGCTGCGGGAAAGCACAGGCCTCAGCAAGGTGCCTCCCCGCCCCGAGGGAACCCCTCGGCAGCCCGGCCCTGCCCCAGCCTCACCCAGGCGATGTCGTCGTTCACCACCACCAGCGCGAACTCGTGGCTCTTGTCGATCTTGTGTTTTGTCCGCACAAACATCTCAATCATCTTCTGGGAGA